ATATTTGTGTAGCAAAGATACAGCCAAAGTAATTGTTTATGATTGTGTGTCTGTTCAGGGGCTTTTTCTGACTTCTGAAACTTTCTGTCCATTATCCTCTACCAGGGCCTCCTTTAGTAGCTTCCCCTCTGGTTATTTACAGAGTTCAAGTAGTGTGTGTGTGTGTGTGTGTGTGTGTGTGTGTGTGTGTGTGTGTGTCTGTGTGTGTGTCTGTGTGTGTGTCTGTGTGCAGAGTTCAAGTAGTGTGTGTGTGTGTGTGTATATGTGTGTGTGTGTTTCTCTCTCTCTCTCTCTTAAAACCCTGAGTTAGAGCTGGGAATGTGGCTTAGTGATAGAGTGCTTACCTAGCATGCATGAAGCCCTGGACTCCTTAGTACCATATAAACAGAAAAGGCCAAAAGTGGTGCTGTGGCTCAAGTGGTAGAGTGCTAGCCTTGAGCAAAAGAAGCCCAGGAACAGTGCCCAGGCCCTGAGTTCAATCCTCAGGACTGGCAAAAACAAAAAACAAAAAAAACCTCTGAGTTGTAGGGTATGTTTTGTTTTGTTTTTGCAGTGGGAAATGGGGTAGGGAGTTGAAATGTGGTGGTTTTACTATGTGGCTCAAATTGGCCTTGAATTTGAGATCCTAATGCCTCCACCTCTTAAGTGCTGGAATTACAGATGTGCACCACCACACCAAGCTCAGCTCTAATTCTTTAGTGTGGATATCATTGTTGAAATTCATTTGGTCAGGAAAGATGGGGTGAGGGGGCCTGAGAAGAATTTACAAAAACTCTTTCAGACACTTAGCAATTTTTATGTGTGCTCATAGAGCTGTGAATCAACATTAGTTTTGTGGAACTTTAGCAGAAATACAAAAACTTTAGCAGAGAAAGATACTAAGTATTGTTATGAAGTCAAGAGTATCATAGGTGTTTTTTTTTTCACCTACTATGCTGAGTTTGAAATATAGCACATGTGTTTAAATTGTGAGTCTAGTGCGTACATTTTACAGTAAGCAACTCTAAGGTAATGTGAATAGCATTTGAAATCCTAGGATCTTATCTTTCTTCCTGGACACATTACTGACTCTTTCTCCTCTGAGCTTGATGCTTTTCTTTGTAGTATGAGAATATTATCTTCCTAATGCCTGATGGTTTGTTGTTTTTTTTTTTTAATGACTCACAATTTTGTTCTCCTTCCTCTTTGGCCGTCTCATGGCTTTTAATGGTTTCATTAGCAAAGGGATGAATGTGCTGGGTGTGTGAGTTAGTGACAGCTTAATGAAAGGGCCCACCCTTTCCTCCCTCCTTTCAAAAATGCCTTTTCTTTCAAATCCAAAACAGTTCCTCTCTCGTTGTGGTGTTTGCAGACTTGAACCCATCTATCTTCATTGACTGCATTAATATTGAGGCAAAACATGCAATTATGCCTTCTTTGGCCCTGGGTAGCACTTTGGAAGACTGGCTGTATCCGAACCTGCTTTTGTGGAAACCAGTCTTCCAGCTTTCTCAGGTTTCCCCATACATTCCATCTCATATTGATTTCCAGGTGCTATATGAGATTTCTGTAGAAATTTTTACCTTAGCAAATGACTAAACTAGCTATCATACTGATAAAGTTAAGTTTTTCTGCTGTAATCTATTTTAATCTTTTCCCCTTCCTGATGTTGGGGGTTAAACATAAGACCTCATGCATACTAGACAAGTGATCTAAACACTGATCCACATATACCCTGAGCACTCAAGTTTATCTCTTTGGTGATATTCATTGTATCATTTTGTTTTTGAACCCTTTGCTAATGTATGAATGGCCCAGGATGTTCTTAATTCTTGCATTTTGGGATCACCAGTTCTGTAAGAGCATTCTATTCTTTCATGGCTTATTCTTTGGCCAGAATTGTATGGCAGACGCTGCCACTGTCATTATGCATGGTTAAAAGTAGACTTGCTCCTAGCACTCACCTGTGAAACAGGGGTCAGTGCCGGGTTCACACAACGTGACCTTTGTTCTGTTTGTTCTGACCCAGCTTCCATGAGGCAGTCTCAGGAAGAGCCTGCAGATTTGCGCCCAGAGATATGGATCGCCCAGGAATTGCGGCGTATTGGAGACGAGTTTGATGCCTATTATCCAAGGAGGGTAAGGATGATTTCCCCACCTGCTTCCCCTCCTTCTTTCCTCCTCACCATAAGAAAGAAAAGGAAAAAAAAAAAAAGACAAACTAGCTCCACACTAATCCTGGAAATGAAGGTATTGCCTCCATGTGACCCTCCATTGTTTCTCCCTTCCTGTTTTCCGTTTGTTTATGGCTGAATTTAAGTGATGGCCTTTAAAGAAAATACAGTATGAGGCCACACAGAGTGTTTTATGAACAGAAGCCTTAAAACATCAGTGCTAAAAGAAAAAAGATTATAGGATTTTGAAATATTCCCATCAAAATATTATGCACATAGTTTTGGTGCTTCCTGTAGGCAGCTTGGGTGAAAGTTACAGAAATTTTAAAATGTGCTTCATCATTCAGCCCCTCAGGGCCAGTGCCCACCCAGATCTAGACTCCTGTGATTGATCACAGCAGGGAGGGAGAAGGGAGTCCCTGTCTTTGTTTACTAGAATGTGTAATTGGTGAACCAGTAGTCAAGGGGAAGTCAGCCCCTTGATTTTGAGGTATGTTCTTGACCTTTAAAGAAATTTTGAGTTCTTTATCTTCTGAGGGAGCAGTATTTTAAGGGAGAAAAAAAAAAACCCAAAACCTTGCTTTTGTTTTTCTGATAGATTCCCTGTGACTGACTAGACCCATTTAGGTGTGAGGATTTCAGGTCTGGGAGTGGAGGCCTTTGAGAAGGGTGACAGATCCTCTGAGGGATGTACGAATCAGTCACCACAGGAAGGTAGTTTCACTTGGTCACATTCTTTCCAACACCTCCTGTGAAGACTTTTCCTATTGATTTATCCAAAAGGAAGTCACTGTATCTTACTTTGTGGAAAGTGTTACAATTGTTAACATCATTCCTATTTTGTTACTTTTATTTTTGGTTTGTTTTGATTTTTTTATGGTAATAGAGTTTGAACTCCGGCCTTTATGCTTGCTAGGCAAGTATTGTACTACTCAAACCATGCCTCTGACCCTTTTTACGCTGCCTATTTTTGACATAGGAATTTGCTCTTTGGGCAGTCACTTTGAATCATTTCCTTTCTCCCCCCCCTCCCCTCTCTTTTCCTGATTCTCCTATTTACATTCCCCACTGTAGCTGGGATAACAGGTGCACAGCACCAAACTCATTGTTTCTCTTAAGATAGGATCTTGAGAATTTTTTCTAGCTCCAGCTAGCCTCAAACTGCTGTCATTCTATCTCAGCCTTCTAGATTTTATTGGTTGAGATAGCCTCTTTCAAACTTTCTGGACTGGCCTTGAACCACAATCTTCCCAATCTCTGCCCCCAGAGTAGCTAGGATTAACAGGCATAAGCCACCAGTGCCTGTCACCCTAGCTGGTTTTTGTTGTTGTTGTTTCCCTGAACAGTATTGTTTCTATAAACTTAAAAATCTTTCTTCTGGAGGAGTCATGCACAAGATACCAATGTTTCTAACTCACTTTCAAAGTCTGTCTCTTACTTAGCCAGCCATTGCTAAATAAGTGGACATTCCCTGTTAATTACTTTGAATAATTGATACTTTTTCTATATTCAGTACTGCTCAGGTCTCCTTGACACACATAGAAAGACACTTTCCCCTTGCCTATGATTCTCATTTCTTCTGTATCAAATGACATGAGATTTGGGAGAAGAGTGCCCTAGTTATAATTATGTAATTAAGTGGGAACTGTCATGTTGATGAATGGGCCAAAGAGTATCTTCTAATACTGTCTAGCTAGAACAGCCCGGCACCCTCTACCTGATAATGGTCAGTTCATGGAACTCCCTTCTCAGCCTGGATCTGAAATGGCAACTTTTTTTTGGAAGGTTGGTTAAGTTTGAAATTTACCATGTGCTAGGCTCTCATCAGAAACAGTGTATTCAGGAGGTTGGGCCTCATGCTAAGGTGTTGAGGAGAGACATGTGGCTACGTTCAAGTCCTGATTCAAGAGCTATGTCCAGAGTCCTTCAGGACAACAGATCATTATGGGTATAGAGCCAACTCTGAACGTAGGTGATCATGCAAGGCATGTCTTCTTCCCTATCTTGAAGAGTGGATGTAGAGATTCTCTCAGTACTGGGCATGGTAGGTGGGGTTTTCGGACAGGGCAGTAGTGTCCTGAGTGTGTTCATCCTGTTGGGGGCTTGCAGGTCTATAGAGAGCCTTTGCCTGCAGAGCTGGGTGTGTTACGGAGCTTTCCTAAGTTTTACTTGTTGACTAAGTATGAACAAGTGACTGTAAGGCTTTCTGGGGGCCTTCTCAGATGGAGCTTGAGAAGGGTATATGATGAGACACAGGCTGAGGGCCACAAGGGTTCGAAGTCCAGCTATATCCACCACTGTCCTCAGATACGCTTGAGCATTCCATGCAGGTGAGACACAGGCTACCAGCTTTTTTTCATTACCACACCTCACCTCATCATTTAGGATGAGATCCATGAGATTTGGATCATCCATTAGGATGAGGTCCATATGGCCTCCTCCTTTTCCCACAGGTCATGTTGAAGGGTGTACATTAAGATGAGCACATCTGTGTTTGAAATGAGAGGTGCCCTTTCATTCCCCCACAGCTTTGATCAAACTTCTAAGCCTTGTTGCACTGTTTTGCAAGTTTTTATAATTGTGCATCTTATCATATTTTAGAAATCAATCCTTTGTTAAAATTTATTCACCAATAAAGGTCTTTAGCCTTTTACTCTAGGCTACAATACTTAGGAAAGGAAGAAGGGTAGATTTTAGATTAGAACCTAATTTTCCTAAAACACAGGCAAATAGATACTCAAGATCTTATAAATAACCCAGCCCAAAACATCAGACTCTGAGACCTTGGAACTGACCCAGTGACCCTCAAAGCCTGTCTTGATAGAGTTAGATGAAGAGCAGCCCATTGTCTGTTCTCACAGGAATGGCCGGTTGTTGAACTTGAAGATAGAGGGAGGAGGGCATGAAGGCCAGTGTGGAAAATGAGGAAGCCAAATGAACCTGCTTTCTCCAGAGCATTCTCTCACACTAATTTAGGGCGGGTTGTAGCTCTTTACAGTACCAAAAGTGTTGGTCTTATTGCCATGAGCCTTGAGAAGCCTGACAGGATATTTTCCCCTTTTTCCAGTTAGAGAAATAGATGTTGCCATGTAGTTGTCATGTGTTCAGTCCACTTAAGGGTAGTGGGGAATCATGAGATGGAGCTGTGGAGTTTGAACCAATGACTTGGGAATGAGAGAGGCACAGGTGAGCACCCACTCCCTGTGCTTGGCCCTTTATCTCTGACTCCTTAGCCTCCCCAAGTCACCTACATGAAAGCTGCCATTAGGAGCTTTGCTGTTCCACACCATGTCGATTTGGGGCAACTTTCTGATTTTGAAAGAATGTAAGATTTGTATCAGTGGTGCAAAAAGCATAACCTGACACCTTGGAGTCCCTGTGTGAACAAGCCACATGACTTTGCTGTCTTCTAATGCACTTGTTCTCTGCACAATCTACACCACTTCGTCATACTTCAGCCAGTGTTACCTAACAATAAGATAGTCTGCAGAATCTCAGAGTAACTGCCAAAATCAGCCACTGAAAAAAAACTGTTTCACTACTACTTCCTGCTCTGCAGATATCAGTTTATCAATTGTCTCTTCAATGTTATTTTTTAGTCCCCCAAATACATCTGGACCTAAGATATAGTTTAGGCTCATGCATTGAGTTTCGGTGTCTTATCTCTTGGCTACATTCATTTGGAATTGTTTCTCACCCTTGGTCTTCACAGACACTTGGGAAAGGTTAGAGCAGTTCTAGTTTATGTCTTCATTGGTATTTCTATGTGATGAAACTCAGAGTTTGGATTTCTACTCTTGGGAGGTACAAGTGTTCCTCTAGCCTGTCCTAGTGCCAATAACATGGGTCAGAGATGTTGGTGACACTGTAGAGTTAGGGCTTTTTCATTTAATGAGCACAGCAAACTTATAAGTTAAAAGAATTTATTCCCCATTGTTGTTTTTGTTTAGTTTGCCAACTTGGATTTATGGTTTGTTTTATTTGGTGGGCTATTGTGTTTGATTCTCAGTATTTATCTTGAAGCTCAGTTCTCACTGGCTTGGCCCTTAGCTCTCAGAAACACAGTGTTGTGAGACTAGTATTATGGAGCTCTTAAAATGGGACTCTTAAGTGATGTTAGTTAAAGCTTGGTAAGTCTGTAAGTCCTAGCTACTCAGAAGCTGAGATCTGAGGATCGTAATCAAAGCCAGCCCAAGCAGGAAAGTTTATGAGACTCTTAATCTCCAATTAACCAACAAAAAGCCAAAAGTAGAACCCTGGCTCAAGAGGTAGAGACTAATACTCACACACACACACAAAATGATGGTGGTTGAGTGAATTCTACCCATGTAGTACAGACTATGTCATCTCCTCATGTCCACTTTCCCACTTTGCAGTCTTTGGGAGGCCCAGGAAGGCAGCAAGAGCTGAAAGACTGGAAGCTTAGGAATGTCAGTGGACCTAGAGGAAAGAGAATTCAAAGAAGCTGACTCTTGGTTTTGGAATTGATGGAGAGGGCAGACTGCTTGTATTTTATTTATTTTTTTAAGTTTTTTTTTTTTAGTTATTGTAAAAGTGATACACAGAGAGGTTACAGTGTCATAAGTCAGGTAATGAAGACATTTATTCTTGGAAAATGACACTCCTTCCTTCACTTTCTCCTATCTCTACCCACAAGTTGTACAATTCATTTTCAGCAGTGTATGATGAGTACCGTGCTGCATTTAGCTGAATGTCTTTTGTGTCTCAGCAGCCTGTACCTGCAGCCTCCTCATCCTCATGGATGGATAGATGCCACAACATAAGACCTGCTGTCTTGTTCTCTCTTCACCAGTTTCCTCCAAGGCACAGAGGCTGTGCCAGTGCCTGGTTGGATGCCAGCAAGGGCAATTCGTGGCCTTCTGGTTATAGATGTGCATATCTGCTTGAGTGGGTATCTTTGCCATGGGCTGGGACTGCAGTCCAAGATAGGAAAGGGCCTGCTGG